ACCACCACCACCACCACCATCCCCACCGCCGCCGCCACCACCACCACCACCGCCACCACCACCACCACCACCACCACCACCACCACCACCACCACCGCTGCCGCAACAACAACAGCAACAACAACAACAACAACAAAGGGTCCTAATGTAGGATGAATCGTGCTGCCTGAAACAGAAAAGCGAAAGCCACAGCATAAGCCTTCTGGCTACCTCCGAGGACCTATTCCGCGAGTCAAAATAACAATGCCCGAAGGATGCCACATTGTGTGATCAGTGAAGCCTTGGCGCACATTGCTACAAAAACGTAAGCAAAGACAGGTTTCCACCCGAAAACTGATCCTGAAGGCATGGGCTTGAGGTTGAAAACATGTGCTTGCAACAGAACGTGCAACAATTTTCATTGTAACTATTCTTGGACACGCTGTGTCTTGTTGCAGGCTGGGCCACTCGTAGCCCATGCCCAAAGGTGTGTTCAAGTAAGCTCCGCCGCCGATGCCCCACTTGCCATTCAAATGCGTGCGGTAGCCCATCTCCTGTAGCCCGTGCTTTCGACACAATTGGGTTTAGAAAAATGACATCGTAGCAACCTTGTATCAGCAGGAAAGGCTTTGTAACATCATGAATTTGACCCAGAAGAATACACGACAGACATGCAGTGCGCAGCTATGTGCACTTGAAAGCACATGGAAGCTCGCAATCGGGTTTAGGCAAGGTGGGAATAAACTTATTGCGGGCTTTTGTTACCAAAAAATGGCACGTCAGAAAACATACGCCCAATTGCGGTTTCGAAGCGAAACGAAACTCGCTACTGAGAGTATTCACATCTGGGCTTCGTCGCGAGCAGTTAACCACACGTCCAGAATGCTCAACTCTGAAGCGGACCTCACTGTCAGGGCCAACCTTCAATTCAAAGTCTACTTCGCATCCTGACTTAAACCTCAACTTGGGCACCAAAACATAGAAACCTGCGCAAACTTGTCTAGAAACCCATGCCGGACCACAAACAAGTACCACAATCTCAGGATACTCCCATCATCATATCTCTTTAACCCAAGATCCGTCAGTCCCCTGGAACGAACCGCATCCCTCTAGCCAACCCCTCTACACAATCTTCTAGGTAGGGTTTAGGGTTTAGGGTTTAGGGTGAGGAACTTAGTGTAAGTTACATTATCCCCCCATAATGGAGAATCAAGTGGAAAAGAATATGGAATTGCAATGGAAACTGGGAAATATGGGGGTTTAAGGAACTCAATTCAAATGACTATATTGGGGAAACCCGTATTAAGCACTAGATTTTTCCATTATGGTAATTTTATCTAAGTTCCTTAAACAGCAACCCAGTCTTGGATCGCTTCCTGTAGCCGTTCACCCAATGTCAATGTGTTTGGTTGCACACCTGAATCAGGAAGGCTTGGGGGGTTGGGGGCCTGAGTTTGAGTTTGAACAAGAGCTTCAGTGAGGGTCGTGGATTTTGTCAGGCGGTTCAGGACCATGGGAAAACAAGGTGGAGTTAATGCTCAGAGCTCTTGGCAGTCTTTCAACCTGAAAGAGGCCCCACTCGCTTGGCACGTACTACATGCTGCGGCTGCAGTCTGAAATCCGCCCTAGCCACACTGATCTCAATCAGCAGTGTTGCACAATTTGTTGTACTCATGCCAGAAAGCTGCAGCAGCAGGCTGCCCGCATTACCACCGCTATGCAACTGCTGTAAAGCATGCAGAGGAGGGATGACCACTTGAAACTCCTCAAGACCCTCCCACAGGCCTCCGACGAACGGGGTCGTCTTCGTGTTTCCCTCCTGATGTTTATAAGCTCGCCAAACTGCAGGCTTGTGCATTCAAAATTGTTGAGAGTGCGTGTGCTAGGGCATTTTCCCAAGAAGTACAGCATCACCCCCGCTATAGCAACCCGAAATGGAAGGAGGGTCTCATGGAAAGCAAGGCAACGTCGTGAACGATGTGATAAAAATGACTTTGGGCAACGACAGCAGCAGGGCCACCATGATCAGTAGATCCAACAGCAACAGGTGGCTAGTAGGGAATAAAGCAATATGTCATATACAGGGATACTCACCACTGGTAAGTTATGATCCCACTCCACTGTATACCCTAATATACTATAGTAGTTGCCATTCTCTTTTCCATTATCCCTATAACCCCTGTTATTCCCTGCCAGCCACCAATAGAAAAAATGCCTAGCTAGGCAGACCCTGAACCCAAACCAGCAAACAAATGCCTACCTAGGCAGACCTACCCTCCTTGTCGACGTAGCTGGCGTTTGGATCCCAGTTCCAAACCTTGGCCGAAGCACCTCCCTGCTTCTGCATCTAGGGTACCTTAGGAGGACCCCCCACCCTGTAATAGTGACTATAAAGGATAATAGGGATTATATTGGGGTCCTATTATATCCCTATTATGCCACGATTACAGGGAGGGGATCCTCCTAAAGGGTACCCTAAAACTATCCCTAGAGGACCAAAACAGCAAAAAAAATCCAAAGATGCAAGGGTGCACAGAAGGCAGACTTGACCACAAGAGGAGAAGACTGCGGAAGGACTCAATGATCCAAAGCCTAGTGCCAGGAGCGGCTGCAAATCACTCATACGGTCAGAAGGCTCTATTTGTACCCCACCTCATGTCAAGCTTACAGGGAAATTCAGCCTGTATGCGTCTAAACCCTAGACCCTAAACCCTAAACCCATAATACATTTATATACCATATCATAATATATGCGTGTCCAACCCTGACTCCATGGGCCTACAAAATCTGCCATAGGCTTTTGGTCGTCTCATCTTCAAAGCCGGCAATGAAAATGGACTGAGGCTTGAAAGAATCCGTATGCAGTTTCCCTAAAGGGGGACCCGAATGTGGGCTTAGGGTTTAGGGTTTAGGGTTTAGGGTGCTTGCAAAAGACTCCAATCCTTGCTATAGGGACCCCCGAAAATGTACCCTTAACTGTGGGAGACCCCCATGTTGGACGGCAGCCAGGCTCAGCAGGAGCTGCACATGCTATGCACTCATGCGGGAGCCACACCAAATCAAAGCAAATTTCAGAAAGACTTCTGGATTTGTTGTCGAGAGTAGCTATAATTAAAATAGTAGGCATTTTAAGAATAGCAATCATAATCATACGAGTAGCAATGATATTATAACATATATATATATATGACAGTCACCACCATCCAGATAACGTGCGTCAGAGTTGAGGTTCCCTGCATGCTCCTCACACCTCCAGGCTACGAAACCCCCGAACAAGTGGGGCTGTATTGAAAAAACTTGGTTCAATCGTTCATAAACCCTCAACCTTATCGTTTTCTCTCATACTTATAGCTTTACAATATCTGGGGGTTACTCTACTTTATCGCATCTTACTCCTTGTCGTTTTACAGGTCAAACGCTATCTCGGGACACTCATGACTCATGACATAACGTGGAGAAGCCGGGTTATTGTACAACCCCAGATGACTTGGAAGCAGTGATAGCAACACGGTGTTGGGCCCCGACATTGTTCGGCACGTTTGGGTTCAGAACGTCCAGGCGACCTGCGCAAAAAGAGGCCATCAAGATAACTACCCTAAACCCTAAGTCCTAAACCGCCAAGATGACTTTGGACTGCCTCTTCGGTGTTAGGCTGGAACGCTTACACCCAAGGCCTACACAATCTCAAATCTAAAGCGTGAGGAGGGCTTGGGATGATGTTGACTCTTGAAATTATTCAGGGTTTAGGGTTTAGGGGATCTTTGGAATCCTTGCGGGCGTTTCAGCTTGGCCTTACGACATCCATCTTGACGGTAAACATGTTTCGCATCTGGTTTTGCAAGTTCAGGGCAAGAGCTTCACGGTGCACAAAGCCCGTAGGGAGACGTCGCAAAAATCTCATCCTGGTGTATATAGCTTTCTACAGAATCAAAGTGATCGTGAGGCACGCACATAGCGCCAAGGAACATTTTCGGCCCTGCCGTTGGGCACTCACAAAAATTGAACCTTCCTTCGAGGGTAAGGTTTGGAAGGATTTTCAGTCTGATAAGCGAAGGAACAAACCTTACGAGGCGTTGCCATTCTTCCCTTATGATGTTGTTTCAGCAACCTCCTCTACAACGAGAAGACCTGAACCCTAAACCCTAAATAGTAGTTTCTGTTATCTTTACCATGATCTGTATAACCCGGAAACCATGCTTCAAAGGCCTGTCTGCAAGGCACCACGACTTGGCGCACACCAAGGTGTCCTTGGCCAAGCCGTAAAGATCCCAAGAAGAGGGGTTGTTGGGGATCCCTGTAGGAAGGACTACAATATTGGGGGGGCTCTATATTGGGCTCAACCATTTCTGGGCACTACCATGTGTCTACTTGAATTTGACATCCAGCTCCGCGAAGTACCATGCTCCAGGGCTCCGGGTCGCTACCGCTACCATCGGCTACCCCCAACTGCAATTGTCTCTTGCTCCTCTTAGGTTTCTGTTTTACAGGACCTTTTCTCCATGGTATGACGTCCACGAAGATGCATTACTGCACGGCCCAGGGCTTCCAAGTCTGCACCCCTCAGGAAAAGGCCAAAAAGACCAAAGCAAAGGTTTCTCGATCTGCGCCATCAAGGCGCGCCATCTAGCTCCTCTTAGGGTTTAGGGCTTAGGGTTTAGGGTGGGAAATCTTGCAGCCACTGAAATTGATGTTGATCGCAATGCTCCACAACGAAAGTGCCGAAAAAAAGGTCCCAAGTGACAGAATTCGCTAGGCATCTAGCATGTTCCTGAAACTTCATTCGCTCAGGCATATGATTGGAGACGGACAGGATGAAGGCTTTGGCGGAAGACGTCTAAAAAGCTTTGAGACCAACGGAATCTTGGGCAGCTAAGAAAGCAAACAGCAAAAAATCAATAACTTGGGGAATGAAGTGCCTGTGCTAGGCTACTGGCAGCAGGACTTGTGGCCCTTGATGGATCCTCATTGCGACAATAGTCCTTTATTATTGCCACAGTAGTCCTTGCCGATTCTTGAGATTAACCTCTTTGACCACCTACGATGAGGGCGACTGGAACAAATTGCTGCTGCACGAACCGTTGCGGACACGAATTGTTGAGGGACAGTTTTCACTGAGAGGCAGACTGCCAAGCAACAGGCAAGTCCCCGAGCGCTGAACCCTCAAAAGACATGACACATGATGTGTCCACTCCTCATCGTTTGGTTTGAGACAAACACTGGCAGCAGGAAAATTGACATGTAGAAAGGCCTGTCGCGCAGCTTGCAAAGCCAGCGGTTGTAGTCCCACCACTTAGCATCACTAAATTCGACACATTTTGACGAACAAGATGCACCTTGAGACAACACGGAGGTACGGGGATTAGGAACTGGTCAGCTGCCACTCTGGAACAAGCCTCAACACATCCCAACCTCGAATCAGCCCAGACTAGTAAGAAAAGGAGCATTGACCAAGTCTGGGAGGGTTTAGGGTTTAGGGTGCATTCTCACACTTCATCCCCAACGCCACAGCAGATCTGAAAGTGGCCTGACATTGGCTTTATTCTGAAATATG